GCTTTGGTGGTTATTTATAATCCCAGCTGCAGAGGCGGGGAGCTGTGCCTGAGCCTGCTGGGATTTGTCCAATAACTTCCCCCAGGGTGGGGCAAGCGTAGGGGGTAAGAGTGATACGAGAACCAAATTAACAAGTGGCCATCTCCAGCAAGAGTAAGAAAGGAGGGTTCATCAATGGCTGTGCTGACTATTTTTAAGGCATCTATAAATGAAAAGATTTTCCTGTGAATTATGGTCACATCAGCAATTTCTGAGATTCCCACAAAGGGATAGAGACTAAGCCAATACTTTTACTCAGAGGTTACTGGTGAGATTGGGGTTGTCTTAAAAAGGTCAGGACATGCTTCCCCCACCTCACAGGCCAGTTGTCTGCACACGAAAGAGACTGCAGCCCCTAACCTGCCCTGGGCACACACATCATTGGTCAAAAGAGGTTTAGAGGTAATAAGATGGCTGCTTCTGTACAAGTCTTTCTGAACTGAGCCAACACACGGCAGTGGGGTCAGGAACATTTCATTCAGTACTACCCCATTCACTGAGCATGCTTAGGTGCCAGGTAGCAAGGGAGAAGCTGGAGAGGATGGTGGCCAGGCAAGCAGGGCTCCCAACCTCCCGGTACTCTTAGGCCTTTGGGACAAATGACAAACAACAAACAACTATACTTTGTTACCTGAAATACGTTGCCTGTCTTTTTAGGAGTCCCTGGGTGGCAAAAACGATTCAGTGTTGGGCTACTAACTGAAAGGTTGGTGGGTTGAACCTACCCAGAGGTGCCTTGGAAGATCTGCTTCTGAAAGGTCACAGCTGTGAAAACCCTATGGAGTAGTTCTACTCTGAAACACATGAGGTCGCCGTAAGTTAGAATCAACTTGACAGCAACTGGTTTTTACTTGTCTTTTTAGACAAAGGGAGTGTTTTAAGGGAAATTGAGGGATCTTTCCAGGAGTTTAGAGTTCCTGGGTGGTGAAAGTGGTTAAGTGCTTGGCTACTAACTGAAAGGTTGGCAGTTTGACTCCATCAGAGGCACCTCAGAAGAAAAGCCTGGTGATCTACTTCTGAAAACTCAGCCATCGAAAACTCTATGGAGCACAGTTCTACCTTGATACATGGAGTCGCCATGAGTTGGAATCAACTGCAGCAACTGTTTTTTTCTTTTTTTGCAGGTGGAGGGGTTTAGAGAGCTTACAAATATAACTGAGATAAGATACAGATATAGTAAGAAAATACACAAGGACATACATAAAAGACAGCCCAACACCTCATCTCAGAATGGCTCCCTGTCATTCTGATTAGTCCCCCTCACTGCTGCCAGCAGAGATCTCTAAAAGTCAAGTCTAATCATGTGACTCCTGTTTAAAGTGCTTCAGAGGTCCCCATTACCTCCAGAATAGTTCACGTTCCTTAGCAAGGTGTTCGAGGTTCTTCATGAACTAGTTCCCAAAACCATTGCCACCTCTTCTGTTGGCAACTGCCCCAACTCCACCATGTGGAGTTGGTCACCCCTGTGCACCATGCTGCTCCATATGTCTGCACTTTTGCACGTGCTGTTCCCTTTACCTGGAAAGCCCCTATTCTCCTTGTCCACTGGCAAACTTATTTGTCCTACGGCATTCCACTCGTTTCACCTCTTCCATGAATCCTTTCCTCAACCTTCCAGACGAAACGTCCACTTCCTCCTCTGTATCACTTCTGAATCTTGCTCAGCCTTCTATTTTCCCATGTAATACTCTATAGTGTTGGAACTATGAGCTTACTGGCTGGTCTTCCCTACTGGACTCCTAAGATCCTTCAGGGGAAAAACAGTGTTTTGTTCACCTTGTTGTGACTCAATGCTTGGTTTATAATGCCTGGATAATTACTCTATGTCTGCTGAACTGAACTGAGGTTGAACAGACAAAAACAAACCATTGAGACCATGTAAATACATATTCACAAACATTAGGATGTATAGCCACGATTAGGGTGAATGAAATTATAAATAGCAATAGCAGCCATTTATTGAGCACTTACTCTATGTCAGGAAATGTACTAAGTGCTTTACAACAATCACCTCCTTTATTCCTTACAACAACCCTGTGGGGTGGCCATTAGTATCCCCATTTCCCAGGTGAGAAAACTGAGGCACAGATCAGTTTAAAAACTCGTCCATGATAGACAGGGGTAGAGATGAGATTCAAATCCAGACCTGACATCAATGTCCGGAACTGGACAGTAACAGACCTGATGAATAAAATAAATAGGAGTTATGTTTCTAATTATCTGTTCAGGACGGGGAGTGGAGAATAGAACATCTACCAGATTATATAAGAAAAAGCGTAAACATAGCAGTAAGTACAATATCACGTATCACTATATCCTACTACCTTATAAAGAAGAAATCAGGGAAAATCTTCTGAAGAAAGTAAGTTTTAAAGAAGGTTGGGAGATACGTCCAGACAGGATTTAAAGACTTTCTGAAGCTATAAAGGCAGGAAGAACAGTGGAGAGTGCCTCTGTGAAGTCTGGTGGATGAGGATGGGCAGGGGGGCAACTGGTCAAAGGCTTTGAAACCAGCATCAATTCCTGCTTTGAACATTAACTGCACCCTGATGAAAAACGACACTTGAAGTAAAAATTATATTTGGATGAAAAAAGAAAAGTTTCTAATATCCTCCCCACCCCCATTTGTACTATACCTAGCTGGTCTACTCTCATCTTAAGCACACATTTTTTCCCTTAGGAACATATTTCTATCCTACTGCTGTTAGTTTTTTCATCTTTCTGCCAGAGTGTATACTTTCCAAGGACAAGAACCATGTCTACATGAAACTGTAAACTCTTCAGTGTCAGCTGCAGTGTTAAGAGAATCTAGTGTAAGAGCTTAACTGATGTTTAACACTTGGAATACTGGTATTTGTATGAATGGTTAAGTTGGATAAGATCTTATTCTAAAATACAATTTTCCAGGAGGGAATACTTTATCATCTCTGAGTGTTAAGATGTGTAACATCTTAGAGACTATAAAATTATAATAATACTCTGACTAGCAAGCATTTACTGTGGATAGAGCATGGTCTAGGCACTATTAGAGGGTCTGGTACAAAAGAATCAAGATATGTTCTTAACACAAGAGTCTTTACCACTAGTTGGAGAGCTAAACATCCAAAAGTGACCTCAGGAACACACCATACTCACTGCCACTGAGTCGACTCTGCCTCATAGTGACCCTGTAGGACAGAGTAGAACTGACCCATAAGGTTTCCAAGGCTGTAATCTGGTGGGTTGAACCACCAACCTTTCAGTTAGCAGCTGAGTGCTTAACCACTGCCCCACCAGGGCTCCTCAAGAATACACCACTAAGTTCAAAATAAGAGTAATAGTGTGAAATAGAATGCTTAAGGGCTGAAGGGATACAAAGCAAGAAGAAATGTGAGCTATTTTCAAGTAAGTTCTTTTGTGCATTTCAACCTAATCAGGTTATTCAAAAGTATTTATACTAAACACTCAAAGCTACGTATTAAAATTCTAAATACTAAAAGCTGCCAGTGTCAACACCAGCCCGCGATATCCCCAAGGAGAAGGCTGGCCTAAGGATCTGGAACTCTCACTCTTTATAGCCCTCTGTTTAGCACATCAATCCGATGTTTACCTTCTGTAGCTTTGCTCTTTAGCTCTGCTCCTAGGGGGAAATCGCCATCTTTCCTGGTCTCAGGTTGAAACTGGGGTTGAGGATTCTAACTTAATGACTGAGCTTGCCCGGATTCCACCCTGTCGCTCTCGGCCAAGCCTTGGTCCTCTCAAAGCTCTTCCTTCAGAGAGATTAAATCCTCATCGCCTGCTCTTCACTTTCCAGCCTTTTCATATGGCTCTTCCTCTAGCCCTGTGTCCTTGACTAATTCCTTCCTAGGCCCTTTCCAAAACAGGCCCTATTATTATTATTTAAATACTCATGCGTTTCTGAGATGCAGCTTCCCAAAAATATTCTTTCCTCTTCCACCCTCCCCCAACTCCTGGCTCAGGCAGCTGAACTTCCAGAGGTCGCTTGGGTTAATTAGGGTTCAGTGCTTCTCCAACTCTGGTACGGCGCCCCCACATTCACGTCACATTTTCACCCCTGGCCACCCAGCGCTCTTCAAGCCATACATAGTGGGGGAAGGAGGTGGGCGCTCAACACAGCTATATTGGGAATTCTTTGGAGCTACGGCTTCTGGAGACGGTTTTGTCTCCTCCCGCGACAAGAACGACTAACTTACTTGCTATTCGCCAAGGGCAAGGACAATGTCTCCTCTATCAGACAGGAAACTTCCTGATGATGGAGGTTACCCTTTCGTTCCTTTTACAATCGCCCATTTCCACCTCTTTGACACACAGGATGGCTGTTACAACACAAAGTTTCTTATACAAAATATCCCTTCCCAGCTTTGACTTTATATGATAAACGGAAACGTCCTTTAGCCAATTACGCAACGAAGAGGTTAAATTTCAGCAACCTGATGGATTCTGGGGGTTTCCGTCCTTGTCTCCCTTAAATTAAACGACTGGGAAGGAAAACTTTGCCCAAGATAAAGATGAAAACCGTTGGCGTCTACTGTTAGGATTCTGCCCAAACAAGAACGGCTACCCACGCCCACAAAGGCCGCCACTGACCTAACCAAAAATGGCTGGCCCCAGTTTCTACTAGCGAGGCCACTTTCTGCCCAACTCCAAAATGGCGCTCACTAGCCTCACCAAAGCTGCGAAAAACACGCCCACCTCCCAGCAACCTCTTTGGCCCGTAACGCCAGGTGACGCGAGCCCCAGCCGGAAGTGAAGGAAAAAGCGCCTCAGCCCGCGGCGCCTGCGCAAAAGACTCTAGACGCTGTGAGGCAGGAGGCACTTGGGATCGTCCGCAGATTTGGGACTGCTACAGAGGCCGCCACGGAGCCCGCCGGAGCCACCGTTCCTACTGCTGCTGCCGCCGCTGCCCGAATCGGAACCATCGGGCCGCAGCCGCCGGCAATGCCACGAAGGAAGGTGAGAGAAGCGGGAGAGGAGGGATGGCGGGTTTCTAAGGCCAGTTGATTGAGCAACGTGACGCAGTTGGCCACGCCTCACAGTGGTTGCGTTCCAACTTCCTGCTTCCCCGAACTTAGCTCAGCCGACCTCTCTTCTGTTTGTACCCAACAGAAAAATGTGGGCCCGACTCTGGCCTCGGCCTATGCTTGCAACTATTCCCGCCCTCTACTTGGCCGGATCGGAGGCGTTCTTACCGTTAATTGGCCGCTCAAACGTCTAGAAGCATATTGATTGGCTGGTGATACCGCCTGTTAGGGCTCAACGGTCACCTCCCCGCGTGCGGGGGCGGTGCCTGGACCGGGCCCTACCGAGCTGCAACTGGCTGTGGAGAACGATCCCTCCTGTCTTCATTGGCTGGGCCTGGCAATCTGTCCCGTGGGGCGCGGTTTAGCAGGACTTCTATTGGGTGGCACGAATCGCCTCCCTTCCGGGTGGTGATGCTGATAGGTGTAGAGGCGGGGTTTTTGAGGATTTTTTTTTTTTTTTTTTTTTCCAGGTGGGTACAACAAAGCTGAGAACTGATCCCATTCAGGCTTGTTGAGTCTAAGCCGTAATTTTTTCCTTACTTTCTTTGCTCGGTAGAAGGGCCTTAAAAGATCATTTAGGAAACCCCTCCCCACACGCTTTTTACATCTGAGTAAACGAAGCCTAGTGGTGTCCCCAAAGCCACTTTGCAATGGCAGAACCAGAAGTACACAACAAGTCTAATTCAACAGTTGTTTATTGACTGCTTGCTACGTGCTGGTTGCTAGGGATTAAAAAATCAATTAGACATGATCCCTGGTAGAGAAAACAGATGTAAATAACTAAAAGGATCTAGTACATGCTCTGTTTAGAGATAGATACAAAGTGTTGTGGGAAAGGAGGTGTGGGAGCAGTTCAGTCTGCTCTGGAGGAAGATGGGGAGTAGGTTGCCAGAGAGAAGGGCAGAGTTCCAGGATCAAGCCAGGGAGGAGCGAGATGATCGGGGACGCAAATATCCCGGTAATTGGGCTTGATGATTAAGATTCCACCTTCATCCCACTGATTCTCTGTGAGTCTTTCCCATGGCCTCAGTTCATTTCTGGGCCGAGCTCATTCTGATTACCCTTAAGCTGGGGCATATTCTTGCTCGTTTTTGCAGGAATTTTTCTCTTTGTAGAGGCTTTCAAATAAATATTTACACTTTATGATGTCTCCTAAAATGAGCTAAGTTTTAGGTGGTATTTATGTTAAGGCTCACCAAATGCAGGAATAGTATCAGTGCCTTACAGTAGGTCCACAGTTCCCCTCCTGCAATTCCCAAATACAAAGGACGAGTGTTTTAGTAACTTATTTGCTGACAAAGCGTGTCCTAAACTGTCTTGAGGCTATTTATGGTTTTTATAGATCAGTTTAGTGTGATTGTTTATGTATTTTGCTACAGAAATAGTAATGTGTTGCTTATGGAGTATTTGTAGGATCTGTGCAAAAAGATTTTCCTTTCCAAAAATCTGTGCAAAAAAGTATTTCCTTTCCCACAATCTAAAAAATTATGAATTCGAAACACAGCTGGCCCTAAGGGTTTTTAATAAAGGATCTGGGACTTGTAGTTTGAAGCTTTTTTTTTTAGCAAATACTGTTTTCTCTCTGGTTTAATAAAGGGTATAATGTTAATACTTAATTGATAAAAGTTATCCTTATGGCTAATCACTCTTGAGGAGGCTAATCATTGACAAATGATTATTAATTGAAAAGATGATAAATCATCATCTCAGCGTTTGAATACCTTCTAGTTTTCATTTGCCAGCTGCCTTTTTCAGCACTTCGGATATTCACATGGAGAAACTTCAAGGGTAGATGACATAGAAAGAATTTATATCTTTTTTTCTTCTGCTTAAGTTCTCTTGAGATCAGTGCTGTGGCCCATGCTATGTTGAATTAGTATATGGTTTTTAGAAATGTGATAGCTGTTGATGGAGACTTTGAACAAAAGCTACCCTAAAGTCGAATGGGGCCTAGCATCAACATTTTTCTCACTACCTTGAACTTTCTATAGGTGTGTGGTTATGTCAGCCAGACCATTTTCAGTTGGGTGTTTTTATTTCTAGTTTATGGTACTGGTCTCCAAAGGGACTTGTTTCAGTATTAGTGATATTTCAGTGTTACTTGTCTGTCTTTATTTACTTAACAATGGTAAATTACCTATAGGTTATTCCATGTAAATGTCTTAAATAAAGGGAAATTGGCTCTGGACTGGGAAGGGAATTGTTTGTGGAATCCTTTCTCAGGTTTGAGCTTGATGTTTTCAGCATCATGGTACATTTTATTTCCAGTGTTAATACAAACCCACAGAGTAAAAGCTTTTATGCTAATGTCTGGATCTATGGTGTTACAGAGGAATGCAGGCAGTAGTTCAGATGGAACCGAAGATTCCGATTTTTCTACAGATCTCGAGCACACAGACAGTTCAGAGAGCGATGGCACTTCACGACGATCTGCCAGAGTCACCCGTTCCTCAGCCAGGCTGAGCCAGAGTTCCCAAGGTAAAAGCCTTCATTCTTCCTGACTGCTCCTCATAGGTGACTGACTGGTCAACACTTTATTGTTCTAGTACTGTGGAAACTGGTCTCTCGGCTTGGTGCAGATGACAGAATCTGGTGAAATACAAAGAGAATAACTAAAAGTATCAGGTCATATGCAAGAAATGCGGCATAGGATTCTTAGTGTCATTGGCCATACCCTGGACATTTGATACAGCTAGAAAATGCATGAGTTCTGGGTGTCTTAAGGAGCCCTGGTGGCACAGTGGTTAAGCACTCAGCTGCCAACTGCAAGGTTGGTGGTTTGAACCCACTAGCTGCTCCATGGGAGAAAGATGCGGCAGTCTGCTTCTGTAAAGATTACAGGCTTGGAAACCCTATGAGGCAGTTCTACTCTGTCCTGTAGGGTCACTATGAGTTGGAATTGTCGGAATTGACTCAGCAGCAGCTGGTTTGCTTTTCTGGTTTTCTGGGTATCTAATTACTATACTTTGTGACCATGGAGTTAGTTGCACAGCTTCTGTGGGGGCAGCATTTACAGTGTAGCTTATGCAAGATTGCCTTCTCTAAAACAAAACTTAGACTATATTATGAATGGACGCCCCACCCCTGCCCCACCCCCCAGGTGAGCCAACTGATAACCTTGCTGTGTGCTAACTTTTTTCACCTAAAAGTTGGGTTTCAGTTTCCTTTTTTGGAAAATCTATAAGATAAACATACAATCTTAGGATTTTTTTTATCGTGTTTAAAATTTGCTTTCGTTTCAGCTTTGAATTTCTTTTATTTCCTTTTTTTAAGCATCATCAGGTTGAAGATGTAAAGACTGCTGAGTGCTTCAGAATAGATTTTGCTATCCAAAAGAATTTAAACAGCTGTATTTTTTCCTTAACCCATGTATCACTCTGTTATGATTTTGCTTAGGTGTATCAGAGAGGGTAATCAAGAAGAAAAAAATAAACCCTAAAGTAAGGAAATGTTTGTGTATTATTATGCCATTAGTTGTAGAGCACCTGTTTATGGTAGGTTAGGGTAAGGGTAGAAAAAAAGGACATAGTTAATATTGATAAAGCCCTCTATGTACCAAAGATCATGCTAAGTGCTCTACATACATTGTCTCACTTATTCCTCACAACGACCTTAATGAGGAATGTGTTACTATGATTTTCCCTATTTTGCAGGTCAGGAAACAGGGTTAGATTAATTTGCCGAAGATGCCACACATAGCTGATACTGTGGAGTGGAATTGAATCAAGTTCAGTCTTGATTCCAGAATGTAATCTATTAATACTACACTATATAGCATTTCTATACCTGAGCTAAGCTCTTTTGCTTGCATTTTATTTAACAAAGTAGATATTTTAAGAGTTGTTGAATTTTGTGAAATATGAAGAGGAGGACAACCTACATTCTTATAAATCGTATGGATGGGTAGCAAAACAGATTTCCTTCTTTTTTCTTTAATTGTTTTATTATTATCTTTTAAAATTGGGATCAGATTCCAGCCCTGTTCGAAATTTGCAGTCTTTTGGCACTGAGGAGCCCACCTATTCTACCAGGAGAGTGACCCGTAGTCAGCAGCAGCCCACCCCAGTGACTCCGAAAAAGTATCCCCTTCGACAGACTCGTTCATCTGGCTCAGAAACTGAGCAAGTGGTTGATTTTTCAGATAGAGGTGAGTGGGTGTGGTATACTTTGGACCATTATAGAGGATCTGGTCAATACCATCTTAAGGAGGCCATGGGTTGACTACAGGTAGATGCCCAGTATTGACCAAGGTTTGAATTCAGCTAGGTGAATACTTTTTGCTTGATTTCGTTCTTATATCTTGCTGAGGACAGTTTAGTACTGGAGTATTCTTGAGATCCAGAGTGGCTGGGGTATTATATTAACTCGGACCTATAATAGGAAGAAGGAACTGGGACCCTCTCAACCACAGATGAAGAGGACTTGAACTGGGTTTTCTTCAGCCATGCTTATCAGTCCATTTATCTCTGCATTTCTGAGCAATAGTGACCTTCAGTAATGGAGACTGATAAGCTCTTGAGATCCTAATTCACCAGCCCAAATCAGAGGCCTTAGAGCAGAGATTACAGACTGATGATCTGCTTCGTGCCTGCCAACAGGGTTGGTTGGCTGGTTAGATTATGTCTACTTGCACAGTGTTTTTTTCAGTTTGTTGTCAGTATTTGAAATATAGGCATTTCACATAAAAACCTGAGTTCCTTGGTTTTTTTTTTTTTGTTTTGTTTTTTAAAGAAATGGCAAGCTCTGGGAATGTTGGGTGATGATTCTCCCACAGCAGTAATTGACTGGAGCTTAGTAGTAGTTGTCTCCCTCCGACGGAGAATGAGCTTTCCCTTTGGCCACAGTCTCCACCTGGTCTACATCATTCCCGTGTGTTGTGTTACTCACCCAGCCTCTGTAGACATTTGGTTTTGCAATCCCTGACTTAGAGTCTGGAATTTTAACATTGAATTGTTAGGTTACCGATGTGGTAACTCAGAGTCCAAGTTCTATGCACACTCTCCTGCCAAGCCTCTTCAAGTCATCCAGGTGATAACCATCTTCGTTTATCTTCTAGCCTGTACATCTCCTGGAAGGAGAGTAGGGTGGTAATTTAAAAAATTTATTTCCATACTGTTTTGTTTATTCCTGATTTGGGGGCTGGAATGAACACAGGTAAGTGAAATGTACAGTGAAACCTGCAAGAGCCGAAACTTAAGCGGACTGCCTTGTTTCTCTGGGTCTCGAAAGTTTTCTGCCTTTGATAGGGTGCAGACTTACCACTTGTCTATCACTCGTTTTAGTGGAAAATATTTGAGTTTTCCTTCTAACAGGTTTCTGCATTACACAGGTTCTGGCTTTTGCAGGTTTTACTGTATTAGGTAAACCCCGAATTTAGTTTTAATCAGAATTTCTAGCAGATAGGTAGCTAGAAGTTACTGGTTAAATCATAGAAATAGGACCTGGGAAGCCCATAAACTCTTTGGAATAATAAAGCTTTAAATAAATGAACTCCATTCCTGAGTTTTTACCAATTGCTTTTGCCTTAGAAACTAAAAATGCAGCTGATCATGATGAATCTCCTCCTCGCACTCCAACTGGAAATGCCCCTTCTTCTGAATCTGACATAGACATCTCCAGCCCCAACGTGTCTCATGATGAGAGCATTGCCAAGGACATGTCCCTGAAGGACTCAGGCAGCGATCTCTCTCATCGCCCCAAGCGTCGGCGCTTCCATGAAAGCTACAATTTCAACATGAAGTGTCCTACACCAGGCTGTAATTCTCTAGGTTGGTGTGCCCCAGCTTCATGATTCCCTGTGTTCTGTGGTTCTTTCTCCCTCTCGGATTGGGATCATCCAGAAGTGTTTTGTGTTTTGTGATCTAGCTTCTTAGACACTTTAGTGGGCATATGCTCAAGAGTAATGATGAGTTGCCCACTTGAATAAAAGCAGTTCTGCTTCTTGGCCTGTTGTCCATAATAATAGTTCTCTGCCGATTTGGTTGTAAGGAAATTAACTATGATGAACTATTTGATTTACTATGAGGTTTTCCTAGTGAAAAATTCCTTTTCCCAGCAAGAACAACAGAAGATCAGTTATCTCCAAGTATCTCATCGTATGGCAGATTGTGCAAGCTAATAGAGCATAAGCTAGTCCAGAATTGTGGTTGCATGGTCATAGCTGTTAAGAGAAATGAGAAAACTAGATTTCTTATCAAGAGGCAATGAATCTACAGTGTTACTGAATCTTATATGTAGAAATTGTCGAATTGGTGTATATTCTGCTGCATGTATTCTCAGCAACAGCAAAGATAAAATTATTTTCAAAAGAGAGGCTGTGAAACTAATAGGGTACAGAAGAGACCCTGATCTTTCCTGACTTAAGTAGTTTTAGGTGTTGTGGCTTTGTGTACTTAGTAAGTGTATATAAACAAGATAAAAATATTTCTTAGGTGAGCATTACTGAATTGTCTAGAAGTTCTCATAATGATTTGAACCTTATTTGTGCTCTGTAGGTGAGCTTAGGTGACAAATACTGGACTTCAAGCTTGTGTCTAGAGTTGGGAGCTAAGGGGCCTTTCACTTCTGGGTCTGCTTTTCAAATTCAGCCTTTGAATGTGGCCATCAAGTCTAGAAGCAGGTAGAAACGAGTAAGTTGCTACTTTGCAGGTCAGCAGTATGTTTTCTCTAGTATTTTATTTATTTGGATCCTTTCCTGGTCTTAGCAGCAGTATCTCAGATAATTTCAACCTATCAAAATGCATATATAGAGCAAAAGTTCCCCTGAACTCCTCACCAGTCATCACTCAAAGAAGATAGTTGTTTTAGGCCTATATTAATTTACTTGGAATAAATAATGAAAAACTAAGAATACACAACATCATATATAATAGTACTAGCGATGGTTAATATTCTTTAAAATGGTAAGGAGATATCTTTGCCATACAGCAGAGAAAGGAACTTCTTCTGCTAGTCACTCTCCATGCATCCAAAATTGTTACTTTTATTTTATGTACTACATTTAGTCGTTCAGCAGATACGTACTGAATGTTTGCTATGTGCTAGGCTCTATTTTAAGTTTTGGGGATGCAGCTGTGAACATGTCAAACTCCCTGCCTTCCTGGAGCTTATAGTTCAGCTGGGGAAGGAGAAACACATCGCTAAATTAATGTATATACATCAGCTAGAGATAAATGCTATGAAGGGAAATAAAGCAGGGAGTGCTGAGAGGGTAGGATATTGCATATTTTCAGAGAAGGCTACTCTGATTTGGTCGCATTTGTGCAAAGACCTGAAAGAAGCGAGAGAGTGAGTCATTTGAGTATCTAGGGAGTCAGCATTATGGGTTGAAGGAAGGGCAAGTGCAAAGGGTCTGGGACAGGAGAATGATTAACAAGTTTGGGAAACACTAGGGGGCCAATGTGCCTGGGGCAGTGACCAGGGTGGAGAGAAAGAGATTAGGTCAGAGTGGGGGCCTGTTTATGTGTTGTTTATACTCTTGATTGGGTAGACCGTACGGTAAATAGAAATCTGTTGAATCAGAGGAAAGTTTACGTTGACTTTTGGTTTTAATGTATTGGCAAAGTTTGGAAAGTATGAACCTGAGCTTCCAAATTTTTCTCGATCCTGTCCTGCTCCTTATCCTAGGCTAAACAATGTCATTAATTTAAAAAAAAAAATTTGGTATGAAAGTATTATGTGCTTATGAAAAAATTAGCTTGAGTAATTTACTGAACAGGTACGGATGCACAGTATCTTAAAAAGTAAGGCTTGCCGCAGCAGTGACGCTACATTTTATGCATGCTGTTTGATCACTGAAGGTAGTTTTTTGATGGGAGTTTTTTGTGTCCAAGATAAATTGTATGAATTGCTAAAATTGCTTTTTTATTAATACAGTCTCAAAGAAACGGCCTCCTGCATGTCCATATTAATTTTTTCTCCAATACTTAGACTGTTTTTGCCCTTTATAGCTTACTTTATAAATCATGTACAAATTTTTAAATCCCAGTGTCTCCTTTACCCAAAATTAAATGTCTTCTTTCCATGAAAGAAAGATGAAGCTTTTGTAGATTTGCTATTCATCTTAGCTATCTTTTTATCTCATCAGCATTGTCTCACCATCCCTCTCAGTCTTAGATGTTTTATAAACCTCTTGGTTGAAGAGATACATAAAAAGCAAGTAATGCTCACTTCCCTGTGTGCTTTCAAAAAACTCCATGAGAAATAGAAAAATGAAGAGATACTCTTGTAGATAAAATGAGCTTCTAGACTGCTATTTCTAGAAGTTCCTGGGTAGTGCAAATGGTTAAGTGCTCTTGACTACTAGCTGAAAGGTTGGTGGTTCGAACCTACCTAAGAAGTACCTCAAAAGACAGATCTGGTGATCTGCTTCCGCAAGGTCATAACCTTGAAAACCTTATGTAGTACAGTTCTATTCTGACAGACGTGGGTTCACCGTGAGTTGGAATCGACTCTACGGCAGCTAGCAACAACATTTATTTATTTATTTATTT